CAAAACATGTGGTACCAGCAAGATGGTTGTCCTGCACATTATTCGACAATTGCTCGAGAGGTGTTGGATCGGGAGTTCAATGGCCGGTGCACCGCGGTGGATCGGTAGACGTGGTCCAGTAATTTGGCCTGCTCGATCACCTGATCTTACGCCACCAGACTTCTTCCAGTGGGGTTACTTGAAAGAAAAAGTTTACGCTGCAATTCCTACAACTTGGGAGGACATGGTGGAGCGGATCAGGAACGCCTGTGCGGCGATACCGCCCGATATGTTGGCGCGTTGTGTGCCAGAATTCATTACCCGCATTCAAAAATGTGTTGAAATGGAATGACGACATTTCGAACATTTGTTATAAATTGTTTTCATAGCCGACTATTGTTGTTAATGTTAATTTTTGTTTTTCAAACGTTTCAAATAATACATTTTACAAGGAAACTCATTTTTCTTAAATTTTGAATTACAGCGCCATCTGTTGATAAATTGAAAAAAGTTTTAAATACAAGTTATTTATTTTTTTATGTACTACCAAACTCTGTGACCCTTAAGGAGGGGTAGGGGGTGGCTAGCGGTAGCACCAAATAATGTCCCCTTTAGTCACATTAACCTTTTATTTAAGACATTTTTCCGTGAAATGCGTAATTCTCGAGATATTGAGCTGTCTAAAGTTAAAAGAAACACCCTATACATATATGAGACATTCTTTTACAAATCGTACACCTATTTTGACTTCAGGGTTTGGATTCGCATGAAAATTTTTTACCGCTTCTATTCAATAAATAAGCAGATACGTGTATCAGGTTTTCTGTAAAAAAATTGTTTTTTCAGAGATATGTTGATATAAAGTTTTTATGAATTGCGATAAAACGATGAATTCTCTTCTACATAAAACCCATTATCTCCGGTTCTACTGATCGGATCGATTTTGTTTTTTTTTTGTTTTAAACCTTATTGAATAGGCTTTTCAAATAAATAAATTAATTTTTTTTTTAGTATAGTATAGGGAGTTAATAACAGATTAATTTTTTAAACTAGTTTTTCATGTTTGCCCCCTCTATAAAATAAAAGGAAAAAAAATACTATTTTATGCGCTTTTTCTTTATCTACAAAATACATTTTTCAGAACAGTGGAGACTCTTTTGGATCGGAAGATATTAAACATTCGAGTGCGTGACAGGACTGTCAAGCGCGTAATATTCAAACGTATTAGTGCATGTGGCGGTTGACGTGATATTTTGTATAAGAGTGCCATGATTCGACATCTTTTAATTGGTGACTTATTTGTGCAAATGTCAATTCTGCCAGTTAATAAATTTACTCATTAATTGGAGTTTGTATTATTTAAAATTTAATTTATTTAAAATTATTGAAAACCTTTAAAATTTACAAAAAGCGCTGGTATTTTTTTAAAACGATGTATGAGTTTACACTATCCTAAATGTGTTAGCATTTCGAAGATGTCTGATTAGGGGGTGTCCATTAATTAGTGAGTCAATTTTAGCGATTTTTTGACCCCCTCCCCCCTTGCTGAGATGTCGTGAGATTTGGCTCAACCCCCTCCCCCTAATCTCACGTGAGATTTTAAAAATGCTTATTTTTAATGTTTATACGTTAAACTGCTTGATTCTGTTGGATTTATTAAAAGAACATACTTTGTTAAAAATTACGTGATATTTGCCGAGACCCCCCCTCTCCCTTACGTGAGAATTGATGAGATTTGGCTTGACCCCCTCCCTCCCCTAAACGCCTCACGTAATTAATGGATGCCCCCTTACGGCTTGTACCGGTCACGCGCTCGAAAATATTTAATATCTTCCGATCCAAAAAAGTCTCCATTTTTCTGAAAAATTCATTTTGTAGAGTAATAAATAGTGCATAGAACAGTATTTTTTTCATTTTTTTTCATAGAGGGGGCAAACACAAAAAATCTGTTTATACAAAAAAAAAAATATTTTTTTCATATAATAAACAAAACACAAACTTTTTAAATATTTATCTAAAAAGACTATGTAATATGATTTAAAATAAAAAAAAAATGAAATCGATCCGATCAGTAGAACCGGAGATAATGAATTTTAAGTACAAAAGAATTCAGCATTTTTTTAAATTTTATCAAAAGTTTAAATCAATATATCTTTGGAAAAATAAATTTTCTGCAAAAATTCCGATAAAGGGGTCGGCTAAATTTATGAAAGGATGCTGTAAAAAAAATTAAGTCATTTTAAAAATTTGAAAAAATATGTTTTCTATAACACTGTGCGACAATTTTCGGGTCATCGAAATCAAACCGCAGCGGACCATTTTTTTCTGAAAATATACCTATCCAATAGCAAAACCCTCGCTGGGTTTGTAAAAGTTAGCTCGAATTTGTTTTTTATGGCCGTTTGTATTTTCGAGCTTTATATACCCCAATTTAGACCTATAAATCGATTTTTTTCGCATATATTCGACTTATATCGTCAAGATTTTTTGTAGAAATGTAGATACTGCACAAATAAACCCATTTTGTGAACAACCTTTATCCCAAAAACCCAATTTTTTTGAAAATATTTTTTTTTTAATTTTTTTGATAATATTTAAAATTTCTTGCTACTTCTTCTGGCAAAAATGTTGTAAAGTATACTAAAAGAAGTAATTTATAAAATACGCACTGAATACAAAACTGAACTTTAAGTTTGCTTATTTGCTGGAAAATAATGTTTAAACAAGATTTTCCAAAATATTCATCTTTTCACACTCAACACCAAATATTTTGCCGAAAAATCTGTAGGAAAAAATTGAATAGATAAAATAGAATTGTAGAAAAGTACAGAGTGTTTGATTTTTTATTATTAATTTTATTTTTAAAAAACTTTTTTATATCAAAACATTGAGTAATCTGATTCATCCCTTTCACTTCTTCTTCTTTATTTCTTTGCTCTTCATTTTTATTTTTTGATTCATCACTGGAGAATTTCATACCTTCCACTTCTTCTCCTTTATTTTCTTGTTCTTCATTTTCATTTTCTTCCTGATTGTAGTCAAAAATATGCTTACTTCACCAAAATATTTCGGCTAGTATGGCATCTGGAGCTCGTTTTCCTATTTATCTGGACTCAAATGGCATCGCAGTTTGATTATTGTGTCGATAACTGTCGACTGAAGTAGTCCAAATGGCGATGAGGGAAATTAATTTTTAGCAACATATTGACTCCAATTTTGGAAAAAACATCCAACATTCGTCGCATCCTTCATAATTGGGAGAACGATGTTTGCCTAAAAGTCCAATGATGATGTATCTCTGTCAAAGTCTTTATACTTTACCAATTTCCGAATATCAGGACCATTTAAAACGTCTGAAATGAAATGAATATAAAAAATATATGAAATGAAGGGATGGAATTCTCCAGTGATGAATCAAAAAATGAAAATGAAGAACAAGAAAATAAAGGAAAAGAAGTGGAAGGGATGGAATTCTCCAGCAATGAATCAGATTACTCAATGTTTTGATATAAAAAAGTTTTTAAAAAATAAAATTAATACAAAATAAAAAATCAAACTCTCTGTACTTTTCTACAATTCTATTTTATCTATTCAATTTTTTCCTACAGATTTTTCAAAGATTTCGGCAAAAAATTTGGTGTAGAGTATGAAAATTGAATATTTTGGAAAAACTTGTTTAAAAATTGTTTTCCAGCAAATAAGTAAACTTAAAGTTCAGTTTTGTGTGCGTATTTTATAAATTACTTCTTTTAGTATACTTTACAACATTTTTGCCAGAAGAAGTAGCAAGAAATTTAAAATATTATCGAAAAATTGAAGAAAAAAAAATAATTTTTCGAATATTTGGTCCCAAAATTTGGGTTTTGGGATATAAGTTGTTCATAAAATGGGTTTATTTGTTCAGTAACTACATTTATACAAAAAATCTTGACGATATAATTCGAATATATGCGAAAAAAATCGATTAATAAGTCTAAATTGGGGTATATGAAGCTAGAAAATACAAACGGCCATAAAAAAATAAATCCAGCTAACTTTTACAAACCCAGCGAGGGTTTTGCTATTGGATAGGTATATTTTCAGAAAAAAATAGTCCGGTGCGGTTTGATTTTTGGTGTTGCACAGTGTAATCCGTACGATATGTAAAAGAATGTCTCATATATATGTATCTCCATTATTCGAGCTAAACTGGTAAAACCCCTTAAAGGATTTGTTTTGGGGGTTGCCTAGATTCGATTTTTTCAGATTTGATCCCAGTTCATTTTTTGTGTTGCACAGTGTAATTAGTGATTAGGGATAAATTTTGTCCATATTTTATAATGATTTAAGTTAAGTTATGGCTTTAAAAAACAAATCCCAGGTCGTCTTTTTTTAAACGCATTTACAATAATTTAAAATAGTTTATTTCTTCATAATTCAATGGAATTTAACGATTTTAGACAATCATGGTATTTTTCTAATTTGTTGGCAGTACCTAATTTGTGGAATATATGATAATGAAATAAATAAACAGTATAAGTAAACAGACAAACACCAACACAATGGGGGTGAAAAAAGGATAAAAAACATAAAACATAATATCTAAAAACATGTATTCATACATAACATAAAAATGCATTTAACAAAATAAAAAGGTGAGATAAATAATAATAAAAACTAAATAAACAATGGCAATAATAAATTAAAAAAATGTAAGAAACAAATAACTTAATGCTAACACGGTAAATAACTTAATAAATTTGGCATAATTACATCATTTACTGGCCATAAAATTAAAATGATTAAACTGTACAAAATAAACTATACATAATGTAAAAAATATACAGACATGAATGACAGATCTTAGTTAGAGAGGTAGAGATAAGACATTTTTTATTTTTCTTAAATGTTCTGGGCATTTATTTATTACTGTACACAAATCCATAATTAGGATATAAATATAAAAACACTAAAAAATATCCTTAATCTCTTTACTGGACAGCCCCTCAAAGACTGGCTTAGACAATGACACCGCTACCAACCTCAGAACTGAAAGTGACTTGCGGCAGGTGCAGTTTTCTCCTGCTGTAGTCCATGGAGGTGGTGTTGGTCGAGCAGACTGTCGACGGCCTTCGTTGCGTCGCGGTGCTAAGCGGCGCCAACGGCAACGTCGCGCTACTCCCCGTTGCCGCGTTCATCATGGCCAAGTTGATGTTTGCCGTGGTGTTTGCGTTAGTCGAGGTGGTGGGGGACTGTGTGCTGGTCGCCGAAGGGGTTATCAGAGGCTGCTTTATGTTAGGCACGGAACCGTTTCGTGATTGGTTGCGTCGGAAAATTTCGAGCGTTAATTGACTTCCGTATGATCTGAAAATAAAAGTTAGGTTGAGTCTCTAGGTGGTTATTAAAAATGTTATTTTCTAAAATTTAAATTAATATTTTAAACTGGAGTGGCTTTTTAAGACTTATAGCATTAAAAAAGAACCGTCCCTCAAAAAGCCAATGGTCAAAAAAGTGCAAGCAAGTGTTGGGCATCTGACTGCACAAGAAAGTTATATTGTCTTAAAAGAATAAAAAAAAGTCCAAAATATACAGTATGTCCCCGGATGGGGTTGCCAAGAGGAGAAACTTTCTTATTTTTCATTTTACGAGAAAAATGTATTCCTTATAATAGAAAAACATAAATAAATAGGTGGATTTAGTTTCAAAAATTACGTTTCGTTTTCATGGCAACAGTTAACACGATTAGTGTTAATGCACACTCGGTCTGATGGTCTCGTAAGCAACTTTAACACTCGCATGAAAAAGTCGCTTTTCAACACTTGTAAAACAAATAACTATTTCATTGCAAGAATCCATTTGAAACCAAGTCATTTCATTGACAGTCAAAAACGAAATTTTTTCTAATAAATGACCATATTGTCGAGCAAGAGCAACGAATTTTTTTAATACAGTGCTACCATGGTAAAGCTGATAAAGCAACCCGACGAGTTATCGAAAAATGTAATCAAAACTTTCCCAATATTTACATATCAAAATGTACGTATTTAGATATGTTACAACATTTTCTAAATGAAAGCTTGGAGGATCTACCGATTAGTTATCGTGTTACAGCACCTATAGGTGTTACTTTCAACAAGACGGTTGTCCTGCCCATTATGCTCGAATAGTTGTAGAATGGTTGAATCAGCAATTTGGAGAGAATTGGATCGGCCTTAATGGTCCTGTTTTATGGCCCCCGAGAAGCCCTGATTTGACTATTGCAGATTTTTACTTTTGGGGCAGTTTGAAAAAAATAGTTTATGCGAATGATCTTTCTCCGAATGTAGAACGTTTGAAGGAGATAATCAGAGATACTGTACACTGTTCAAAATTTTATGACCATTTTAACACCAAATTAACACCATACATGGTCTATATCGATACAAACCAAAATTGTGTTAAATATGGTTCGTTGGTCCAGTGTAAATTCAAATACTAAAATAGTGTAAATTTAACTTTCACACAGTATTAAAATAAATTTTACCTTGTGTAAATTAAATGTAACTCCTTTTCGGTGTTAAATATTATGTGTTTTTGGTCAAATTAAATGATACTACCTACACAGAAAAAAAGGAAAAAAAAAGGAAACAGGAAGTTCCTTGACGAATTACTAGTATATTACCAGTGGTATTATTCCAGAAAATTGAACCTTTAACTCGCTAGAGATAATGTTTTTAGTGCGTTTCACCAACTTAAAATACTTCAAGTATTGACAGCTGTTTCCACCTATTTAAGGTCTCTTTAGCATCGAACAACTTCTAGTGTCACACCAAAGCAAAGGACTACCTGAGCTTATATACTCTTCATGTAAGTCAACAGAGGCGAGATTTAAGAATATCACGTGATCCACACCCCCTTTGCCGCGATCGGTACACACTATGCAACCAGGAATGCACGGCAAATTGTTTGAATCGTTTTAACAGAGTGCTGTAGGTTGAAGTAACTCTTATTTTACAAACAACATATTTAGTTAACTGAACCATACAGCGGGTTGGTTTCACCAAAGTTTTCTGGGTTAATTTAACCAATTAAATAAAAAAAAATAACCATTTGGTTTAGTACCGTCAAACTAATCTTTGTTTATATTAACCTTCCCACAGTTAATTTAAATAAATACTTATGGGTTAACTAAATTAATATAGTTAAATGAACTATTCCTTTTTTTCTGTGTAGGTGCACTTCTAAAATATTTTTAGATAAACACCGTTTTGGTGTTTGCTGTATATAAAATTTTCAACCATAATTCATGGTGTTTATATTAACACCACTTGGTGTTGGATTTTGACACCACTCTTTACACCACAGATATTTTAAACAGTGTAGCGGTAAAGACGCGTCTTTACCGCCAGAAGAGGTCCGAAAAAGTTATAAGGAACTGCGTCGAAGACTTAAGCTATGCGTTAAAGAAGGTGATGAATGGATCGAGTGAAATTTATTATTAGTTTAATTTTTGAATTGTAATAAAAACTATCGACCTATTTTTTTATGTATCTCTGGAACGGAAAGGAAATTTAAAACGGTAAGAACTGATTCAGCCGTTTTGAATCAAGCAAAAACTATTATGAAGACTACTTTATTTAACATATCGTCGTTACTGCAAAAACCAGATACCTAACTTCCAAAACACTGTTCTGAGTAATTTGAGTTTGTTACTTATTTTCATTGGGTCTATTTAATAAAAATGTAGTTATACCATTTTTGTTGCGCTCTTAGTTATGCTTGTAGTTGAGTTGTAGCAGAAACAATTATTAGATAAAAATGTACTTAAGTGAAAAAATAAAAAAATAGATCTTATTCTTGCAAAAACCCGACGATATGTACTTTTTTTAAAAGGTTACATTTTATTGGTGCCTCAACGTATTTTGACTTTTGTTTTATAAAATTGTATTTTAAAGAACGAATAAACCTTGACATTTTAATAAAAACGGAAGCAACTTGTTTAATAACATCAAGATTAAGTTTTGATTAAATAGGAAACAAAACGAATTGTGGAAAATGTAATTTTCATAAAAAAATATATGAAGAGCTATTTCTGCGAACGAAATGTCAGAAGTGAAGGTCGCAAAAAATCGATAGTGGAAGACACTTACCTAATTAGGTTTAAAATATCGATCTCCGGCATCATCACCACGTTATGCTTGTCGACGAATATCAGATAATCGCCGGGCAAAATTCCAGCCTTATCCGCAGACAATCCTTTTTCCACCCGTTCTATTCTCGGCGGATGCGTCCAAACCACCGAGAATCCGAATCCGCATTTTGCCGGCCTTATCAGCCTCTTGGTCTGCGTAAAAGGTGTCCTTCCGCACTTATTGCCCACGGCTTTTCTTTGGGTGGCGGCGGCAGGCGCGTCCGGCCCTTCAGTGGGATCCAGCTCCAGGTAGCGCAAGAACAGATTCTCATCTGCGTGCTTTTGCTGCTCGCTTAAGGTGGTGCGATTCGTATTTTTTTTTAGGTCCGCGTCAAGGTCGTCCAGCTGGATAACCTCCTCCACGCTCGATTGGCTCTCGCACATCGTGGGGGAGTCCCAGGCCGGCAAGGTGTCTTGGTGACTGCCCGGTGTTATCGGTAAATTATGACTGCGACCCACTGACTGAGGCAGCAGACTATATGAACCATTAATGCTCTGAAAAAGAAACGGAAACATTAGTTTTCAAAATAAACATTATTAAAAATGGTAGCCTAATAAGTTATTCATCAAACTAGTATCAAATCAAATCAAATATCAAATAGAATTTTAGTTTTAGACCCTATTTTAACAAAAAACCATAAACCTAAAATGCTATAATAATGCAAAACTAGAGGTAGATAATTCCAGGAAATGGGGCATTTCAAAACATTCCTATCTACCTATATATTTCTATCATTAATACGGGTCTGCATGTTACGTTCATAGATTATTTGTAAGTTTACGTAAGTCATCAATTTATTTGAGTTACAGAATGCAATTTGTCATCCAAAGGACACATTTTACCTGCATCTGGATGATTGTTTTATTAAGGATTAATGGTTTTCGCACTAGGGTGCTAAAGATGCTAAATTATTTGTTTTTAGGTAGAAAGTCAACAAAATAGGGATTCTATGCGATAGGGTTTATGGGTTTTGTAAATTCTGGTAGTTTGTTAGTAAATACAATATATAAACCCCATTGTATGAAGGCTATGAAGCGCCGTTTCGGCCACGTAAAACAATGGTAAAAACATTTTTTTATGTACTTGGGTAATAAATTTCTTATGAGAAAGTATTTACCAAGTTATAGTAAACAATTCCTGAATAAAAATTAAACTGTTCCATCGGCAAAAATATTTCTCCCTCAAAAAAAAACTTTCGTACAAAAAAATCTTTCATGTTATTAAATTATTTACAGAGAAACATTTCTCTCACAAAAATATTTTTCCTACAAAAACTATTTCACCCGCAAAAATATTTCTTCTACAACAAAAACTTTTCCAACAAAAACTATTTCCCTCGTAAAAATATTTCTCCCTCTAAAAAAACTACCAAAAATTTAAAAAAGAAATTCTACTCATACTACGAAATATGACCGTTTTAATATCACTTTTTAATGTGGAATTACATATAGGTGTTACAGAATGAAATATTCTATCATCGGATGACGGAATAAACAATGGTGGCGCCATCTCTGTGTTTATTATCTAATAACTTTTAGACCGATCCAACCTCACTTTCTTCCAATTAAATTATTTTTTTATGGTATTTTTTAGAAACGTAGAAAAAGTAAAGTCTAACACACGTTTGGAATTTCATTTTCCGCTCTCGTGAAACAGTCAAACTCGCCTTTGGATCGTTTGACAAACTTTATACTCGAGCGGAATATGCCATATTCCAAACTTCTTACAGCATATACTATTCTTTCTTTCTTTCTTTCATGTTTTATCTTCAAAGCACAATTTTATTTGTTAAAAGAAACATAAAACGTACAATTGTTGTATATAGAAGAATTGTATACAATTTTTGTAGACAATTTTATTTGTTAAACAATACACAAAACTTATATGTTTTGTGTATTTTTTAACAAATAAAATTATCGCTATAATATTGCTGAAATCCCCTAAATTGTTAGCCTTAATGATAAAACATTGTATTATATTATAATATTAATTATTAAAAGAGAAAGTAAGGTTAGGTAGATCTGACAGTGATGGAATTTTTTGATTGGTCCAAATGGGTTTTTAACAGCATTTGAGGTAAACACCTTTACCTCATTGGTCTAAATTATTTTAACAGCAAATAGGCGATAATCAATCACTTTAGTAGTGAGTGTTGACAATAATAAAGTTTAAATTATAGAACTTTTGAGGATAAATGTATATTTACTATAATCCCCTTAAATCAATAATCATAATTTTTTTAACCACTTAATAGAATCTTAGGTGTAGGTTTATTTCTAAAGTGTCTATTATGTTAAAGAGGCATCTGGCACGTTTCTTACCTTTTCACAAGCATCTTTGACGTCAAAACTCATGCATCCAAGTAGCTCGCTAGTCCTGAAACAAGAACAAAAGCCAAACGTTAAGAATTACAATTGACGTCACCAGCGATTAAATGCTAATAATAACAAGACCAAAATTAATATGTAGTGCAAACACATGCGTAACTGAATGCCTATGACGTTGTCAATAGGTTTTTGAAGGGTCCTACGTTTCGGCAACAATAACATTCGACACGACGCGAAGGGTCTGTGCCGGTATTGTGCCCTGAGGGCCACCCGCATGGTTTTTCTCTCGTGTAGGACATGTGTGTATGTGTGTTTGCACGGCATCAGCTGATCCAGGTAACGTATTAATAGGAAATAAATAAATATGCGCGTAGAGTTGGTCTCAAAGGACCTATTGAAATGTTTAGTGAAATATTATTGATAGAGAAGAATTACTAATCCCTGAAGGGTTAATAGAAATGTAGGCATTTATTTGAATAATGATTTAAGTAAATAAGTATAGGAAATAAATAAAAAAATATTGAATACGAAAAAAAAAAGTTTAATTCACATTTATCTTTCATTTTAATTAACGTGTAATCCTGATTATCCAGAAAATTTGACAAATTAAGAAAATGAGGAAAGTTTTCAAAACTCAAGGTGAATGTAAAATTGAGAGAAATAATTAAACCAATCGGCAGCTTTAATTAATACTTCGAATAAGTTTGACAAATAATTAATCACTTATTATTCCTTATTAAAAGTTAATCATGGTTTTGAAGTAAATTCACTTTACCAACAATTGTTTTAACAGGAATAAATTTACGTTACGAGTTTGTAAACCAAACAAAATTTTATTTGCTTGCATAACTCAATTGTATCGTTTATATAAACACGAATTGATTCGCTTTGTCATGCCACCTTATCAAGTCCAACAATTATTTATGAAATGGTGGATAAAATCGAGAGGCAAACAATTTGAAGTAAACGAACGTAAATAGATTTTATTAGGGGGATGTTGCGAAAAAATTGCCCACCCGCATGCCTTCAATCAATGGACAATACCCCTTGTACTCGAGATAATAATAACCAACATCTGATAAAATAGGGGCCCCATTGGCCGAGTATAAATCGCGTGTAATCTGGCCTCGAAGTGCTGTTTTGCTCTTTTTAGCTGAATTCTCCCTTCAGACTGACTGATTTTTTATCGTTTTCCTTATCCGTGCTATTGCACCTTGTTTTCCAATTTTGCGGGATTAGACGCGTTTAAGCTCGAAAGAGACAAAGAAAGAATAATTAGAGAAAATTGGAGTCGAAGATAAATTTATAGTTTTTCAAAATATTTATTGCAGCGTAATTTAGTTCAAGAATAATTAACCTATTTATTTGTGTGAACAAACTTATTTTTTCCTGTATTTTTTCCAGAAATTCTCATAGCCAAGTATATTTTTATTATTTCGGTTCCTTTTCACATTGTTTTTTAATTATATGCGGCATTGTTTTAGTTGAGTCATTTTATTTTTTTCCTTTTTGAAAGTTTTTCTTGCTTTATCTATTTTTCTTTCTTCCTACGTGTTTTTAACTTTTGTTGTTATAGTCATTATTTTCTTCTTTAAATACTTTTTATGTATATCATTATATTATCGACTCGTTTACAAAATAACCTTTGTATAGTCTTTTAAGTTTTTTCCCAATACCTATTAATAGTACACTTAGTATACTAAACTACAATACCTACACAAAACAGGCACCAGAACATGGCAACAATTTTAATGAATTTCCTCGAGAACCGAATCTGATTTTGATGATTTTTTAATGAAGGTTGACTTTTCAGTATATCGTTATAACAATGCTATGGTATACATTTTAATTTTTATTTTAGCATATACAGAGTGTTCAAGTAAATAAAAGTTTTTTCTAAAATCTAAGGTACATTAGCAATATCAATTAAAATCATACTATAGTCATATCTTTTCTGAACATTTTGTTTTTTTTATTTACATTGTTTTCTCACTTTTGCATCTGTATATGTTCAAATTAAAATTTGAATAAAAATGTATGCTTTACTAAAGAGTCAACCTACAGTTAAAAAATCGCTAAAATCAGATGAGCGGTTCGAGAGGAAATCATATGAAAACTTTTTTGAGAAGTTAAAACAGTTTATCTTCGTTAATAATAACCTGAGTAATAAAAAACTGATTAGAAAAGATAGGACTACAGTATGATTCCAATTAACATCCGATGTTATTGCTGGGGCACACCACAGAGTACCACAAATTTCTGAAAAAACTTCTTTATACTTTTGTTTATATGCTCAAACTAAAATCAGAATAAAAAAGCATCGTAACTAAAAAATTAACCTACAATTAAAAAAAACCATTTGCGAGAAAATTCACATTAAAATTCATATTAAAATTGGGAACGTTTTTTTTGCTGGTATGTCTACCTACCTATATTGTTCAATGATTGAGGAAGTTGGCCATTTTCATGATAATTAAATATTGCAAGTAATTTAACGCTATACTTCCAATTTTATAAAGAATTTTGTACAATTTGATGACAATTATCAGCCGGTAACACTCGAGTGGAATTTTCTCTTTTGACGAATAATGTTTCAAATTGTATTTCAATTAAGAAAGTGGCTCAGTTTTGAACTGGAGAAAATATTGTTTACAGGTAACTGTTCAATAAGACGACAAGATTATACTTCTCTTTACGGTAATATTTATCATTACTATGACGATTATATGTTTTTTTTAATTTCGTCCAATAGTCGCAAAAAATATTTTATTTGACTACGGAAAGAAATTTAAAGCCAATTTTATTTAAGGAAACTAGAAGCCAACTCTCTAAAAATAAAATTGTCAAAATTCTCCTATTTGAATTAGTACCAGCATTTTTTACTAATAAAATAGTCGTTTTCACTTTTAAATAGTTATTTTTTTACTAATTAAATAGTTAAAGTTTGACTAATTTAAGATAAGTCACCATCTTTGACTGCTTCTATGAGTAAAAAGTAACCAATTTCTTTAATCGTTTGCGGCCAACAATAAAGTATTATTTGAATTAAATGCATATACCTAAGCTCCATGGTTAAATGACCCATAAAAACAAATAAAGATGCAAAAATTTTAGATTAAAACAGCAACACAAATAATATATTCATTATTATGAACAATATTTATTGACAAATAAAATTGATCGGCTGATAGCCGAATGCGTTATGACAACAGCTGGACAAGTGACAGAGTTCAATCCCCGGTTGGGTCAAAACTTTTTTTAAGATTAAAACGTTTTGTGACAATCATGTTTAAAGTGAAAAACCTCCTGTAATTTGGAGTCAAAATTGTTTGTTGTTTTACGACTTTGTTTTTCAAGCTTGGAATTCAGTTATATCCCTTGAACACCAAGTAAACGGTACCTACTGCATTAACTGTACTTAACTGCATTTTTTTTAAATGTCACTTGCATCCCTTGGCTTTTATTGTCCTAATTTATGTTTGATCTGACAACTGTCAAGCAGTTTCCAATTTAAACTTAAAGCTAACTTCTGCCCGTGAGTTAAGTAGAATTTCGCTCACCGGTTGAAGTTAACTAATAGAATGGTTGTTGAATAATATAATAATTTTTGTTATTGAACAAACATTCCCACATTATAAAAACTGTTTTGCTACTCCTTAATTTTGTCAACCAACGAATTTCTCAAGGGTATGCGTGCTTATTTAAAAAAAATCTGATTAGGATGAAGTGGGGAAGTAGGAAATGTGGAACACAGATACGCGGAAGCACCATGCGTGTCCACTTTGGTGGATTAGAATGGATACTTAAAAGCGGTGCACGACGAAGGATATAAAGGATAATTTGTATCCTCAGTGGTGTATGAAGGCACTATTATAACCTTATACGATGATATAATCTGGATTTATGATTGTGGGAAATGATGATGCATCATGATGTTCGTCGTTGTTAACAGATCGTAAAACTGTTTACCCAAAAATTTAGGATGAATAAAATAATTTTGGTGAAATTAAGGTGATAATGTTATGCTTCAGGAAGCATACGGACCCTTCAGAAGTTTCGTTGACAAAAAAACTTTAATTAAGGAGTAGTAAAACCGTTTAAGCAGATTGTTTGTATAATACTGTGGGAAAGATCGTTAAGTTATAAATGAAAGAATGTTAAGGATCAATAAGAAACACGACAAGATTAAATATTGATTTGAAGTGTTTACCACTACTCTATTTTTTAATTTACTTAATATATTGACCTAAATTTCCTGAGAATATACCAGAAAATATATTAATTTCTTATGTTATGCTTCGATTTTTTATTTATTTAATAGACTTTTTAAAAAGTTACTTACGAACTCTCAGACGGCTAAATCTCTTAACTTCCATGAATAAATTTATCACTAATATTAACACATTGACAAAATCACTGTTAAGTCTTATTGAAAGTTTTTAGTATAATTATGTTTAAGTATGGCACTTGGTAGATCTAAAAAAAATAAAGTAAAGTAAAAGCAAAAGCGGATTTCTTTGCTAATAACTCCATTAAAATGTATAAGCCACGCCCCCTCACGACCTTGAAATATATTAACTAATATTTCAAATGGGGGGCAGAAGAAAGTGAAATGAGACTAGAGTAAAACCTGGATAAAACAGTTTTAATTAAAGGATGAAGTATAATAAGTTAAACATTTAGTGATTGTTTTGGAAGATTAGCTGATGTTAATGATGATTATAGTAAATTAGGTATTGAAATAAATAAACAAATAAATAATGAGGGATGCAAATGATAATGTTTAAAGTAAGTGTGGTGTCACAAACCGAAGTCATTTCTCACTTAATTTACATGTTCACGATGTCGCGATGTTTTATCACAAGATTAAAAAAGTGCACGTTTCGTTACGCGAATACCGTCACCTCGACTGAGGAGCGTCTCGGATTACAGCAAGGGGTCATCTAACGAGGATGTGAGCTCCTAGGATCTGTTGTGAATAAAACCCTAAATAATTTCCCTGCACGTACTTTAATGCGCAAAAACTGAGTGCGACAGAGAGAGAAGTCAAACTGGGGGCGGTTTTCCTCGGTTTGGAGGCGGCAATCGATCGCGGGAAAGCGGCGGATTTTGCGTAGTGGGGCATTGCGCGGCGGCAACCGAACGAAAAATATTTGTGTAAGGAATGTGTGGTAAATTCGGGTCAAACATTCGAGCTCGAATTGCCTTTTTATTTGCTCTTTAATATTCCTAAAAAGATTTTAGGCTAGGCAGGATATGAGAAAACGCTCCAAGCTCCATCGTTATTTCAGGTTTCGCTTTAAATATTGACTCGGCATTTTCGAGCGTTTAAGTGCGAGAAATTTCGCGCCCGTCGCCGAATCCTGGTCACTGCAGTTGTTGCTTCAAACTCAAGCCTTTGACCGATAAATACAATGATACAGAATTTAAGTAACGCTTTAAAACCAAAATAATTTTATAAAACAAGGTGATTTTTAAGAAAATTAACTATTTTTTAATAATGTTTTTTTAGTTATTTTTAACTTATGTAAACCAAGTACATAATACGATTTATTTATTGAAACATTTAAACTTTTGCTTTATCCATGATATAAATTGCTGAACACGAGGTGTGTTCAGAAAATATCGGGAATTTTAGTTTTTTGAAACAATTATTTATTTATTCGTCTGCATCAATGTTGTCGCCTTCAAAATTATGCACATGTGCAAGCTCTTCTTCCAATCCTCGAAACACTTCTAAAACTCGATCCTTGGTATAGCCTTTAGTTCTTGCAGCGATGCGCTTTTAATGTAATCTATGCTTGCAAAACGACGGCCCTTTAAGGTTCTCTTTATTTTTGGGAATAGGAAAAAGTCAGACAGAGGCATGAATATGGAGGCTAGGGCATCATTACAGTATTGTTTTTGGCCAAAAAATTTTTTCAAAATTTAACAATATTAGAACAAATTTTGCTGCCACGCGTTTCATACCCAAAACATTCAAAAAAATTTCATGGGATGAACCAATCGATATACCATCATCAGCGACTTCTCTGATGGTTTATAACCATTTCTTCCACTATTCCATGTTTTTATCGGTTGTTAATGTGCTTGGGCGTTCGGGGCATTCGTCATCTTCAACGTCTTCACGGCCATCTTGGAAACTCTTATACCACTTGTAAACTCTTGTTTTACTTATAGCAGACTCACTTTAGGCCTTTGTTAACATTTCACAGAATATATTTTATTTTTAAGCAAAATTGGATACAAATTCTTTGATCCATTTCTTTTAACGAACGAAAAATCGCCGAGTTCATAAAACACGTCTAACCTTAGCGGCTGCCACATACAAAGTAAACAATGAAAACAGCTAAAGTTTTTATCATACTTCGGGGGCATGAATACCAACATAATAAAAAAAAAATTATGACAACCGGACTCTCCGAAGCCGCGTAATTTAACAATTCCCGTTATTTTCTGAACACACCTCGTATATAAAACCGTATAAATCGCTACGCTCATAGGGCTTCAGTTTGTATAATCCCGTTAATACAGACCTGTGCAAGTTCAAGTTTGGTAGGTAATTGCATTTTTGCAACACCTTTTACTAGGCTAATATCTTTCGGTTCAGCGTGCATATCTCGCTGCCATTATGGATTACTCAGTCCATTTGAATGTTTATTTGCAAATTGAATTGTTTTTGGCAAGAACTTCGTCTTTTAAAATTAAGGAATATTCTTTTAATTAAATACACTCACAGGCAAAATATTCGATCCACACAAATTTTCGATTAATTTTAATCGCAAATAACTTTTTTTATTTGATTTTGGATTTAAACAAATATTAAAGAATATTGTAGATATATTAATGGAGAATCGCTTACATTTTAAAAATTTCTAAAAAATACACGTACGTTTATAATATACTGGTTTAAACAAAAAGATGTTTTTTACCATAAGTTTAAGAGTGGCAAAACCGTATATTGTTCTAAATTAAGTTTTAATTATCAAGTCACATCTATTTTTAACAGTTTTGTTTTTGGTTCACCTTGATATATTTATTTTTGTGGAAAATATGGATTTTTTTTTTAAAATATTGTAATTTCCAATATTTTTCCTGTATGAAGAACTAAGGTTGCTATGGTCCATCCATAGCCTACGGAGGATGACAGTGACAGTTTTGTTGAATCATCCTTGGACATGTCATATATAGCTTTCAAAAGCTATCAAATTGTTTTTTGTAAATTTATGTGTAAATTTTGGGTGTCTTCTTACTTTTAAAAATGTCCCTGACTGATGTTGCCCTTTGTACTTTACTTCTTGTGACGTTTAAAACACTTGCCACGTAATACTGTGACCGTCCATCCTGGATTAAATTAATGACTCTGGCAACATCAGTCGGGGACATATCCATTTTTTAAAGTAAGAAGACACCTCAAAATTTAAACATTAATTTGCAAAAAACAATTTGATAGCTTTTGAAAGCCCTGTATGACAAGTCCAAGTATGGGATGATTCAACAAAACTGTCACTGTCATTCTCCATAGCATATGGATGGACCATACCAACCTTAGTTCTTAATATAGAAAAATATTGGAAATTGTTTTTTAAAAAAACCCATATTTTCCACAAAAATAAATTTATCGAGGTGAACCAAAAACAAAACTGTTAGGAATAGATGTGACTTGATAAATAAAACTTAATTTAGAACAATATACGGTTTTGCCACTCTACAGATTGTCTTAAACTTATGGTAAAAAACATCTTTTTGTTTAAACCTGTATATTATAAACGTAAGTCTTTTTTTTTAGTAATTTTTTAAAATGTGAGCGATTGTCCATTAATTTATCTACAATATTCTTTAATATTCGTTTAAATCCGACATCAAATAAAAAAGTTATTTGCGATCGAAATTCATCGAAAATTTGTGTGGATCGATTATTTTGCCTGTGAGTGTATGATTTTCAAACAAAAACGGTCAAGTGCTTTTATAGGAGAGTTGTTTCTTTGATTAAGTTACATAAAACTTAAGAAGAAAATTGCTATAATAAGGTCTTAAAACCTAATGTCAACAAACTTCTAAATATCTTTGGCGCCTTATTTCGGCAAGAATGCGAGTTGTTGCTTACCTTGAAGATCGGTCGCGGTGCCAGACTTCGATGTGAATACGCTTGTTGGCGTGCTCTGATGGTCTTGGAAACCTGAAGGTATGGTTAAAGTGCGGCCTCAGCGAGTCCGCTTGCACCGCCGTCCTTTGCAAAGTACCGCCACTTCGTTTGCGCCTGCTGTCTCCCAAACGATCCCCTATGGCAACCTGCAAGTAGGAAAATGTTGGTTAGCAAAGAAATGAGTGGAAAGTATGCTTTACAGTTTAAGCACAAAAATACACACTGTGACACAAATCTTTGCAGTATTTGCTTAACTATAAGTTTTGTAATTTCTTGTTCTTGACAGCTTAACACCGCGAATATCAGTATTAGAAAAAGAACTTAAATTTAAAATAGCAAACATCAATATTTTCTTTTAACTTACATGTAAAACATCATGATAATAGTAGTAGTTTTGCATTTGGTATGCCATTGTTTGAAAACATAAAGCAACTAAATAAAAAACGCAGAAATTTAGCAGAATTTATACTAAACACAAGGGCATTTTAATAATTAATAATTTAGCAAAACAATAAAAATGGCAGATAATAAATTAGTGGCAGCATAAACATCGCTTTAAATATTGTTTACCAGGTGGTAATGATTTCGTTATAAAAAATGGAAATGAAAATGTTTAATGTTTTAATTCTGTCAATAATTAACATTGATATCTACTCTATAGGGTTATAATCATGTATGTAAATAATAATTTAGCCCAATTTTGAGCTCTTAGCAATAATTTTAAGAACTGGAACAACGTCGATAGTTTTTTTTATTAAAAAAGCATACATAATGAGTTCATTATTCCCGTTGTTAGGAAGGGAATTAATAATGTTTATCACTACTTACAAAAAAAAAAACAATATTAAGCAATAGGAGTAGATAATAGTAGGTTTGCGTCTCGAGTCGCCAGACGAGAGACTTAAATCATCCGTATGAATAATGCGCATAATGTCGTGTGTAATACTATATTATCTGTGTATACATCTTTAAATGGTTAACCCGAGAGGTAAACCACTAATTTTTTAAAATTAAAGATCGCCTACGAATTAACGGCTAAGGAAAACAATCACAAGGGTAGTCATGCGCAACGCGTCGCTAAGAGAAATTTCTGATTGATAAAGATTTTTTCTACGACTGATAGGGAAAAATCAGAACAGAACGTCCACATAACGTTGAAAGTTGATCTCGACAATTTTAAAGAGTTTTGCCCCTCGGGTTAACCTTACTTTTTACCAATTTTAAAAGTTATTATAGTCGCCTTTTCCCAATTTAAAATGAGATTTTTTCAAATCACAGTGAATATTTAAATTGGCCAATAACTGATGCCTAATAACGTGAATCATTATTCCCGTTGTTAGGCATGGAATTTATAGTGTTTATCATTATTATTTACGAAAAAAAACACAATTTAAAGTTTAATTTCCTATGAAATTGGTGTCTTTTTGCTGTTAACTTGTAAACAGTTGACTTTTTTGTAAGAAATTTATTTTTTCGCAAAAAAGTTTATATTAATATTACTATTAATTAATATTATTATTAATAACTCATCAAAATTTAAAAAAAACATTATTTTGATTTAACATTTAAATATTTTACAAATTTTAATTGTATTCGACTTATATAAGCTTTTTTCTGGAAACAGTTTTTGCTAAAATTTTAAATTTTATTTTACTGCTAAATTAAATTTGGTTTTTTTTTTGCGAAAAAGGGACCAAAGGGCCAAAACCACGCTTGACTTAAAAAATTTGAAAAAAAACGGTGAAAAAAAACAAAGAACAGGTGGTTCTCTAGTCGCACCCCCAACTTTTCCAAAGTCGGCATTTTCTGAGGTTACGATTTTAAATACCAATACCTAAGTAATTCCAATGACTGGAAATATAATTTTTCTGTGAATTCACTAGTCGACATTTTCGAAAGTTTTATTACCTGCCGACTGCAGCTGCAGCTAATGCCGATTAACAGCTAATCGATTTGAATATAGTAAAAGAAAGAGTTAACTCATTTATTGGGGTTTTGAAGAATCTTTTTGTAGTAGTTTTAAACACTAAATAGACAGTTTCCAGTGATTTTCCTAAACTATACTTTTTTATTAATTTTTTTAATCATTAACTCACAAGTAAATTTAAATGTCAGTGAAATTTTGTTAGTCAAATAATTAAATAATGAAGACTTGAAGAGAAATTGGAATCGATATCGTCATGTTTGACGATTTTGTGAATTTTGTAATTTCGAGTGATTCCAGGGTCAACAGAAAAAGTTTTACTATTTTCATTAAACTTTAAAAAAAGTCCCGGGCAAAAAATGCTACGCCACTGTTCTTCAGACATTTATTTTATCCCGAATTCGTGTCCCTTATAAAAATGTTATAAGCAGTTGAATAAATATCAATACCTCTGGGATCATTATGTATTATTACATTTTAGGATTTAAAATACGGTGAAGTCTTTAAACGTCGGCATTTTAATGAGAATCACCCCCTCATAATCAGTACCTTCGCTACTCCCCTAACCAGTGATTCTTTAGGCATTAGAAAATGAAATATTTCGGATATTATTACTTGCCAATTTAACCTTATTTGGGTGATTCTTTACTTTGTATTAAATGCAATATTTCTAATTCTAGTTCTAGTTCTAATTAATCCCTTAATACAATTTACAATTCCAACCTTTAGTATTCAGACAGGACCCATGTCGAAAGCGGATGTGGAAAAACCGTAGTTTCCGACGCCTAATATCTTTATTGCCTGCAAAAACTTTTTTCGACATCAAAACAAATCACTCCTTGGAGATTGTTTTTCGGCCCAGCATTTTCTCGCACGATTAGGCTGCATCGACCCAAATATAAACCAGAAACATTTTAATACTAAAATCTTAAAATATTTTAGTTGCATAAGAGCATTTTCCTGTTTGTAAGTATTGAACACTGGACGCGCGCCATCGCTACGAAGCGGTCATTAATTTCATCCACATGACAGCTTTTGGACAATGTACACAAAACAGCGGATTTATTAATTAATAATTTGCGTCACATGTTTCGCATTACGTTGTAGTGGCCCGCTTGCTTGATCCGGTGTATAAGTGACAGGCCGACGAAGAGTTGCAATCTTTACTTTGAAACGATCCGATGACGGTAACCGATACTTTTTCTATGCGCTTCATGTCTGTTTTCTCAGCAATTTTAATACATGACATTTCCTACTTCTGTGCCAAGCTGTTTTTATATCTTTATCAGCTAAATTTAAGTTAGACGTTTTTTTTAATTTCAAGGTGTCTGCAGATGCGTAAGGTCCTCTCTTGAGGTTTGTAGCTCTCTAAACGTTCGCTCCCGACCTCACGGATGACGCACTAAAAATATTGATCCGTTTTTCCATTGGCCTACTGGCCTAAGAACCTCAATCATCCACTTGGTGCAATGCTTTTTCAATTACTTTAACATTCGAATATTAAAGCATCGATCACTGAGATCGGAGATGCATTAAAATAATTAATGAGGTTAGCCGACTTGATATAGGAAAGTCCACAACTTTATGTCATAATTTATGGGTTTATTAATACTTTACGCTGCAATAAACATGATTCTTTACCTAGAAAGGATTGTCCTTGTTTAAGGGTTAGAAATAAGTCTTCCGAAAAATCTACCTAGTATGGTATCAACGGTTTTTCTTTAATGTTAGTAATAATATTTGTTACAAGAAGTTAACATTTTACTATTAAAAAACCTTGTTAAAATAAATGAATTTGTAATATAACTAATTACTTTATTTTCTACTCCCACCTTTAAAACGCCCATTATTGTACATGTTTCCATGACACTAAGTGATCTTTTAAATACTCATTGACAAGTTGTGGCTTTATGGCGTTTTAGTCACGGACTGAAATTAGTTTTAAGTTGGTCAAATGTCAAACAATCGTTAAAATAAAGTTCCCTTTTTGTGAAATATTATTGTTAAAATTATTTTATTATCCCAACACAAAAATAAAAAGTATTAAATAGTTTCTCAACGCCAAAACCTATTTGAAAAGTGCTGACTGACCTTTGATTTTGCCCGCAGTAAACTAGATTTAACTGAAAGCATTAAAAATTTCGGGTGGAGACTCCACTGTGAAGTGCCCATAAAACATTATCTTTACTTTCACTGTGAAAAACTCCTTCTATATTATCATTTAAACGGTTGTTAGTCCATTTTCAAGGGATAAATTTTGATTTACACATACAAAATTGACATTTTGACTGGTGCGCCGGAAATACCGATTCCCAACTATTTTTTATAAATGTGGCTCTAAATATTTGTTTATTTAATTTAAATAATTTTTAGATAATAATAAGTATTTGTCGTAGAAAAAGCAACTCGTTTATAAACTTATCTAGAACTCATTTAATTAAACACTCGCTCGCAAGTTTTATTGTTAATTATATATATATATATATATATATATATATATATATATATATATATATATAGGGGGCTTAAAAGGTCGCATATATGATCGCACTGCCTAATTGTGTCAAGATATTCTCTTAGTAAAGTATGTACCACCCTCAATCTTGAAAATTCTTAGATATGATTTTAATTGGAAAAAAGAGCCGACATTGCACTTTTTTAATTAATTTGTCACAGGAACACTTCAACTTTGCACGTAGAACAATTTTTTAGAGTACTATTTTCCTATTGGTTTTTATCGCGAAGCTTGTGCAGCTAAAAGAATAAATCACATATTTTTACGGTCGCACAAAACATATACTGCCCTCATAAATCTTGTCAATTTACATTTTCTTTCAACATACGCAAAGTGCTTTCTTAGTTAGACTTGGCTTACCGCTTGCTATTAATATTCTAATATGTGAAATAAAATGATGGTAATGGTAATGCAGGCAAATATATTAGTGCTTAAAAACGACTTTATGACCGCCGTTTATGTGGCAGAATCACCTTTTTTTGTTTATTTTGTTAAAAAAGGGTTTACAGGGACGTAGTGAAGGTTTCGGTGACCGACTATTTGAACTTTTTAATTCTAAAATGTAAATGAATACGCGTATTAGACTAATTATTATGGGCTTTGATATTTATTTGACTGCTTATAACATTTTATATGGGACAAGAATTTTAATAAAAAAACGGGATTTTTTAAATCTTTAGAATGCTTTAAGAAAGTCGCTTTGCACGTTTTTTTTTTAAATTTGAAAATTAAAAATAAAAAAAAATTATTGCAATTTTTTTATAAATTTTTTTGTGTGGCCAGATTTCCAAAAAGTCAATTTGCACTATTAATGGCTCACAATTTCATGCTATGCTAGCGTTTTTTCTATGTAAGCTTATTGTACTCTTAAGTACAGTGTCTTATGTTTTTGTAATATTAAAAATGTGATTTATGTATATTATTTGTATGTTTACTAATGACTTAACAAAGATTGTTATTTATAAAAATCGTTTATTTAATGATGCAGATTTGGGGACATATTATTAAAAATATTCATTGAAAATATTATATTATATTATAGAAACCTCGGAAAATTCCGGCTCTGAAAAATTGGGTGTTGCGATACCCCCTCGGTACGTCCCTAAGTGCTCAAAAAATTATTTTAATGGATAAAAATAGTATCCACTTTAAAATGGTGTATATTACGGAACCGTTTAAATTTATGTAGGCTGTATGAATTAATTTCAACTATACATACATGCATGACCTGTTTAACTGAACAGTTTAATTAATGCCCTTTGTAAAGGCCACTTACCGTAAATGTATACAATTTAGTGTACATTTTAATTGAATAGATATTGTTTAAATGTCGAATTAATGAATCTCGTAATTAAATTCTTTACAATAAAACTCGGCAGTTAAAAAGTGCTTAACATTAATTAAATTAAAAACCTTCATCATCAATAAAATCGTTGGAACAGCCGTCAAAATGACTGCGGCGGTCCTAATTGAGATTTTATTCGGGGACGAACAGGAAATCGTCCGGTGTGTACCCCGTTTAACACCCGATTCTACAAATGCAATCATAACATTTCCAATAAGCCAACTGTTACGCTGTTACGAATTTCACGGGACCGCCACTTGCCACTTGTCCGGTACAATTTAATTTTAAATATACTTACGCAGTCGCTTCTACCTGCTTATTTGCTTAAAAGGTTTAATAATAATAATCAAAATGATTGGGCAACTTTTCACAGGGGGTGTCTTGAAGAAATGATTGGACAGAAACCGTTTATTTTTAAAAATTTAATGCTATATTAAGTACTTATGTAAAATAGTAACAAAAAATATTAGGTAAACTATAAAAACTAGTACCTATTCTAATATAATGAAAACCTAATAGCTTAATAATTATAATTATAGATGGGTTTTTAGTGTTATTAGTAATAACTTATAACTTATTAAGGTGCAATGGAATAAAATCCGTTTTTAAAAAAATGATTTCATTTGAGACTGATTTTATTTCACCTATTTTACCAAAATTTTCTTTTTTAAGAGAAATAAACCTAATTTTTACATTTCACTACCTAAACTAGTGTAATTTAACCTATTTTACTTATCTTATTTTTAACAGAAGTGAACAAAATTTTCAAATTTTATCAAAAACATGTTTTTTTGAAATATTGGGTTGTCGTATTCAGATGACATAATTATTATGCACCATGTAAAGTTCATTTTTTTTATCTGGACTGCGGCAACGTTGAAAATTTAGGGTTTTGGTTGGTAAATACAGTTGTCAAGTTGGTCGCATTGATTAAAACAAACTAAGCTAGTTATAAATCTTATTGTGGTTATGTATAAATTATTGTAGGTTACATTGTGCAGTTGTCAAGTTGAGTTGTCGAAATTCGTAGTTAAAAATGCAATTAATTTGGCTTTGGTGGTGCTTGGATGAGTAAAATCATATAAAAAAGTAGTTAAATATAGGTTGCTTTACGACCCAAAAGAGAAAGTATTTCTAGCGGATAATAATCTTCGCTTTGAAAAAAATTTATATAAATGAAGTTTTTTGTGAACGTAAATGTTGTCCAATGGTGAATAATGTGAAAATAATGTGTGATGTAATATTTATAAAACCAAATTCGTTACTTTTTTACTCCAAAAATGTCCATAAGGCGATGTACTTTTTCTTCCATTGTGGCATTTGGCATAATTTCATCAAAGTGAAGTTTTGCCCTCAAAGGGGCTTTTACATTTGAATTCGTTGCTATTATTTCTGGCATAATTATCTTTTTATTTATAATTGACAAGTAAATTATCAATAATAAATATATTGTCAATTTGACAGCGTCAAAGTATTTAATTAAATTCTTTAGCATACTAAAAATACCAAGTCAAACTGTTAAGCCACCAATCTAACAAAAAACACGAGTCCAGATAAAAAAAAAAGAACTGTAAGTATGTTTTTGTTTTACAGGATTGGTAATATGGGTTTGGTTGGCAGTGGTTGGTACTGGGAATCGCTTGTTCACAAAAACATTTTGGAGATGCCGCCGTATTAAAATATTATAAAATTTATGATGGTATTATAACATTTGTACAAGATATTTTCGTCAGTTTTTTTCAAATCATAAAAATCTTGTTCAATGCAATTTTATACAATAATAAATTATATTATTTAACCACCTAAAAGTTACTTTCCAGTACCTACTTATTTTCGTAAAGTACGGACCTAATTTAAGAATTTTTTTTAAAACAAGAAAAAACTGCCTATTTACGTACCTGGGTAACCTAAAATCCCATCTCTAGTTATAATAGTAACAATATTTAAAAAAAGATTTGATACATAAAAAATAGAAAACATATTGTATACACTATAATTACACAGTGCCGCACTGCAAAAGTGAATGAAATGAAACCAAAAGCAAATTAAAGTTAATAGCTTCCACAACAAAACTCTAGATTTTTCTAGATCACGTTTTAGTTTTTATACTTTGTAAGTTGATATTATGTAAAATTTTATAAAATTTTTTTAAATTATTTTGGAAATATATGGTCCTACAGTAAAGGGCGCTGTCATCCAATCTTTGCTATATTTTATGTATTTTATTGGTAAATTGATATTTTTACTTTTTTTGGGGCTGAGAATTTCATTTTTGTCATCTTTCTTGTTGTAAAATATACACTATAGGTGATATAATATATTCAAAATAAAATAAACACTATAGATGATATAATATATTCAAAATAAGTAATAAAAATTGCTTTGGAATAGGGATTATGTTATAGTTTACAACAAAACAGATGACAAAAATTGATTAACTATAGTTAGTAAACTTTAACCAAAGTATACTTTAACCCAAAAATCATGTTATTTTATTCATTATTATACTTTGTTTAAACGTAAAATTGATTTGTTTCCCATGGTAAATCAGTGACAGCAGCATAAAGCTTTCTCATAATTTGTTATATTTTTATTAAATAATCTAAATAACCATAGGATGTCCAAAAATCTACCAACTTTAAATGCTTATAACAAACAAGTAAGACGTGATCTAAAAACCTTGATAGTATTTTGTTGTGAAAGCTATTAACTTTCATTTGTTTTTGGTTTTATTTAATTTCCTTTCGCAAACCTTCATTTTGTATCACCGTGTTATATTTTACAAATTATCTAGGAACTGGTACCGCAAAAATTATTATAAAGTATTATAATCCAAATCTTTTGTTCAAAATTAATAAATTTAGTATTTACTTAGCATCTAAACCTACCTTAACATAAGCGTTGACCTTTCCGTTGGGCCTGTAGAGATCCTTGCAACGGATAACTGAAATCGAAACGACATTATTAGAGAAAATAAAATAAATCTGGAATTTCACTGCCATTAAAACCTAATTCGTTGGCACATTTGGACCGTAGCCATTAAAAATGCATTTTCGAACTGGAGTTTTTAAAGATAAATGTACTCGGTTGCCAGATACGATTAAGATAGTAACTGATCATCTTCACAAAATTGTTGATCAAAATTGCTTGAATTTATATTAGCAGAATACGGTTGTTGTGAAAATAAATTGATTTTGTACCAAAGCAAAGTAGAGCAATAAAGCAGTTAAGATGGTAATCAAATGGCTCCTTTAATGTTTTGTTATCTTATATTTTGATTTATGCGACCGCAATTCAATTACAAAACTTGTAACTATGCAGTATTTATAATTTTATTAACGGCCACGACTTCAGGTATTTTTTCCATACCCTCTGTTCCAGAAAAAAAGTAATATAAATATGAATGCTCACCGTGGACTTGTATTGTGTCGTTCTCTGTATGAATATTTAAATCGAGGGAGCCCCTTACGTCTACGGCAGTCGTTTTTGTAGTCGAGTTGCCTTCGGAGATGCCCGAAAAGTCCTCGAACTTCGGCGAGTCGAATAATAGACACCTGCGGATCCTTTGGGTTTGATCTGGCGAACCCTCCTCCAACGCGTAAGTTTCTTGCCGGATATCCTTGTTCTCCATATAACAACTATTCAAAGGAGTGCACTCGAAGGATTCGTCGTTCACGATCGTGTCCAGGATGGGAGAGGAAGCTTTGCCTAAAAAAGGTTTCAATGGCTTTTCCTTTCTGCGTATACATTTTTGCCTTCGCAGCGTAAAGTTCTCCTCCAAAGATCTATCCAAGTTCATCCGTTTGGTGACGGGTTCACTTTCCAGCGAGGAATCTGAGCTGCGCTTTCTTAGCCTTGTCTCGTCGTCGACGCATCTCTCATTAAATGTTTCGTTAATATTAATAATAGTCTTATCACATATAATATTGCCACTGGTCTCTTTGTTATTGTTGTTGCACTTGCACAAATAGTTGCTATCTAGCTGGTGGGAGTTCTCCGTAGTGCTGCTTCTGAACCCCGAATCGGTCGACGAGCCGTCGAATGACGGACGACGATTTCTTTCGTGCTCGATATTTATTAGATTCTCTTCGTGAGTCTCGTTTAAGTCGTTTTCTTTCTCCAACTCGGTCTCGTTACCGATATTACATAAAATACTTGTGTTTAACGTAGATGAAGTTTTTGGCCTATCGCTATCCGAAGATGATTCCAGAATAGCATCAACTAGTTGGTCCAAGGAAAGATCGTTGATGTAGGAAGAGTCATCGTGCTTTTTAGAATTTAAACTAATTTTGCTAAATCTTAAATCTATAAATTTTTTGACTAGTGGAGAGACTTTAAATTCATTTGCCAAAAGTTTTTTGGCTGAATTTTTTAATTTTAGTCCAGGAAATTTGAGTCGCTTATCTTCCGGCGAAGTGATGAACGATATTTGATGAAGAAAATCGTCTACGTGATCGAATTTAGGTTTCTTGCTTGGCGGGCAATCGTCGTTGGTAACTTTGGGACTAGCATTGTTTAAAGTGACCAGGCAATGGGTGCTTTTCATCGGACAAGGGGAGTAATCCATCGCTGATGTGGGTAAAGTCGGCGCGTAGGCTGTGGGGTACATTTCGTCGGCCAAAATGCCTTCAATATGCGAATCGACAGCCTCGAAAGGTCTGAAAAAGTTGCTGCTATGACTATCAGTGTTGAAGACATCGGGGTGATTGTTCAAGCAACTTTTCTTCTTCTTTATGATTCGGGGGGATTTCCGTTCGCTCTTGCATTTCTTCACCGACAGCACCCGCCTGTTGTTATCTGTCGGTGTCAAGTTGCTCACGTCTCTCAACGCGTCAAACTGCACGGCAAATCCCTCGGGCGACTTGATCGGCGTCGACGTGAACTGGTTCTCCTTATCGGGCTCGAGGCTGCTGCGATTTTTGTGGCAGCTCGACCGGCGTCTGCCAAGACTCGAGCGCCGTCTCTTCGTTTTGCGTGGCGTCGTCGTTGTGGACGACGACGTCGTCGATTTGGCGACGCTACCGCACTCCGACGCCGCCTGCTCGGACTTGTCGCCGGGCTCGCGCCTGGTCATTACAGTCCACTTCAGCATTTTGCGCCTGAAACAGAAAGATGGCATTGTTATCTCACGAGTTTTAAACTGTTGCTTTTTTAATAAACCCCATAATTTATGCGTTTCTGTTAAGTTTACATGTTTGTGACATATGGTGAAGGAATTACCAAACGTTAACGTAGGTGACTTATTATGAAGTGGTTGAGTATTTACTCGGACAGTTGATTTTATCCAGAGTGCATAATACTGTGGCAAATTTAACGAACAAGTAACGACAGTTTTCTTATTTTGCCAGATGTTAAATAAGTAAGTCAAACGGTGGTTTATGACTTATGCAATTTGGCATACTACAATATTTTTTTCCATGTCGATGCTTCTTAAATCTCTTAAACGCATAGTTTAAAGTAGTATTTTTAGTTCTTAGAAATATAAGTAGAAGTGACTTTGTAAATGACACTATTGCTGCCAACCTAAATGCTGGCTGTAGTAGGAGTGGCAGCAAGAAAACATAAAAGATGGTTATCTCTAATATCCACGACATTGGTTGCTGATTCCCTTACTGCTACTTCTGACAAATATAAATTTGTTATTAGGTATATTATTCGTTGCCGCTATTCTTTACTTCTTACTGCTTTCTACTATAACTTTTTAGAACTATAAATCCTGCTTAAAAGCTTCTTAGAAGCATCGATATTAGAATTTTTTTATTTTTCACCATTGGTAACTCTCAACCTTCATTTAAAAGAGAACCGTTAACCCTAGGCTACCAATGATGTGTTAAAAACACGCGTTTCTGGGACAATTTATAAAACGAGCAAGTTTTTTAATGGACGAGTGCGACAAAAGGTCTTATGACATAAGTTCTTTATGCTATTTTATCTATTTTGCAAAAATTCTATACAAAAAATTAATTTCACACTTTAAATTTCATTTGGTCAAATTTTACTTTAGATAGTTGGTATCACAGTAATTGGTTTGACAGTTAATGTCAAAATCGATTCGCCAGGCCGTCCTTAATTTACTTATTTACAATAAGCGGCTGTTAATGTTAAAGAAGAAAAAAGGATTTTCTTTGGTGTTAAACAAAATTTATTGCCAGAAAAATCTCGTAAGTACTAGAAAAGTCATAAAAATATTATAACCAATATGCAAAATATTATGCTGTTTAAAGTGTAGCCAACCTATAAAATCAAAATTTTGGGTGGGATAAAGTATCTCATTACAGAACCGAAAGCGGTGTTATAATGAAGTCATTATGAACGCAAAATAGATAAAGATAAATTCTCTGGGTAGCATGACGTCACGATGTTATAATATTTATTTTATAAACGGTTTAAATGGTATGTTGGTAGGTATAATAAGGGTGTCAAGATTTATGAATTTGTTCAAATAGTTTACTAATAAGCTTAAGGCCAAACCACTTTTTGAAGAAAAAGATTTATGAATAAAGTATATGCAAAAATAAAAAATCCAAACATGACCAAATCCTTTGACAGTTGTAATCTTTTTAGTAGTTATAAAACCATTAACAACGTATTTTAGTATAAATTTTATTAAATTATTTTTAACATTTTAAATTCGCACCTCTAGTATGTACTTTTTTCGATTTTTTAAGACTTAAATTCTTTGAAGAAAAGTAAACCTAACCTAGAAACCACGGTCTTATAAATAAGATCGTGTCAAAAATAGTTATAATAATAAATTTGTTTGCATTTTGTATATTTATTTAATTTTATTGATAAATTATGCACGAAATAGGCAAAGTAGCATAAAAACTCATTTTACAATATACTGTTTTTTACTTGTGTCCATTATTAGTGGGACATAATTAATGATATGGAATTTTTGCACCTTAAAAATTTAATTATTTAGATATAGACTGATACGATAAATTGGATATTGGAAACGGAAAACCGCCACTAATTAAGTTAAAAAATAAGGGCAGATGCTTAATATGGCATAATAAATAATAATATTATTTCGAAATAACAGTTTTTTCGCCTATTTAATTGAAAAATTGCAAATTTTCGACCAGAGTGCACCCCGGGAAACATGTGCGTGACCATATTTTTTATCTCCGAATCCCAAAAACGATTACGCAGCTGACTGACATAAATTTTTGGAAACACCTGCTAACGTAAACTTCCGATTTAATTATTTAATAGTTTTTATTGCTGTTTTATTATTCATTTGTGCTGTTCAAATAGGGTTAAACTCGACATTTCGACGTTTTAAATGTATGACTGCAATCTTTTCCTTTATTTTTTGTTATTTGAATAATTCGAACAAATTGTATTTATTACGTAAAAGCACCTGTTTATTATTCCTAAGTGTCTGATATAAAAATTAACGTTAGAACTTTTTAATTGGTTACACCATAAAGATATTTTTAAATGCCATGAAATAACAGGCAATTATCCTTAAATTCAGCCTTGGTGTGTTTCTTAATGGGTATGGTCAGACCAATTTTTTAGACTAGAATTTGTTGTGTTATCAACAATCAAAGGGTTTTCCGTTGTGTCCCAATAAACGGATTTGTTTGCAAAACAAAACCAAACAAAGCCTCCCGCTACCGATCCGTTTTATCTATCTGCACCACATACTGAGATAATACGCGTATCGGTTAGCTTAGATTGTAAATAAGGCTTTGAGATCGCAATGATGATATGCGACAATCGCTACCCCTTTGCCATCGTCATCCCTCCGAAAGGGGTTTGCGGCAAATATCGTGCTGATTGCCATTCAAAGGGTATTAGCGGATTTTAAATTCGCCAATGCGCACGCGACCCCTGCAATTAGATAAATCAGAAGTTATTGCCTTTATTTTTTTTTATTAGCGTCATACGTGGCGATGAATACGAACATACAGGATTATGAATGGAATTAACTTTATTATTAAATTGAATTTATGTTGATGCTAATCTAGCTCGGGGTGCAAGTGTTGATTGAAATTTACCGGTTGTTTTAGCCAACCCAAAGTCTCGACAATTTCTTACTAATAATAAAAAGGATGCTACTGATAAGATAACTATATTATGTTTGCTTACTTTACAAACAAATATCCCCTACTGTTTTAAATTTCGACACATAAATATTTGCGTTTGGGGTGTACACTAACGAATTTCCTTTTTTGTTTTACATAAAATTATTATTTTTTCATTAAAACATCATGAATAATTCACGTTTTCGATTGATACACACAACCCTTATAATCGCCCTCGCTTTTATCAATATTGCGTGCTATACAATCACCAAAATCAGGCATAATTTGGTCAATTAACAAACACCAGTCAACCTAATTTGCATTACACCTTTTGTAACAGTTTTTAAATCACCCCAAATTATCTACAGCATGGCACCGAAAATATCAATTTATATGTCAAATTGTGAACGCACGCGATTGAACTAATTACATATTATAGCATTATTTTGAATGATAACACCAGTGTGCAAACAAATTTGGTATCTTAAGGAGGTTCTGTCGCCATGACAAAATGTTAAAAAATTCTAGGTTATAGTATAGTCTACTTAAAAGACATTTACAAAGTTGCTAAGACTACACGGAATGTTATCGTATATTAATGCTGAACTGTGTTGTAAATGTTAACGAAAATTTATATGCCACTTCTACAGCTATAAATGCATACGAAAAAAACATCGATTTCTTGTTGTCATGTTATAAGAAATGGGTTAATTAAATACAGCTCCCATACAGCCCATGTCTTTAATTAATGCTTATCTTATAACGTAACATTAAAAAATTATTATTTTTTTCCGTATGCACTTATGCCTGTAAAAGTGCCATATAAATTTTTCAATAACTTGACTGCACAGTTTATTGTGAAAAAAGTACATTTCACAATTGGAAAGAGTTCAGCTATGCTGATCTTCCACTTTGGTTTGATTTATTTGACGACTACCATAATTTTATTTTTATAGAAAATTATTTAAAAAACCTCAATTGTATTAAGTTATTTATGTTTTAAAAATAATTAGACAACCCTTCTACTTTCTATGGTTTCCTTCTCTTTGACTTCTGCTCTTCTCTTTAGACTTTTGCTGGATTCAACATACTGCATGTTTTCTGATACTTTTTTTTAATCCCCTACCTTTTTTTGAATAATTTTTTCTTTGTAGTGGAGTTTATTCGTTTTCAAAACTCATTTTTAGATATAAAATATCACAGCATAAGGAAATGTCACTGCCACCGTCAAAAGCGAAAAGCGTTAGCATGAAAACCAACTATCAACAACTCGCAATATTGTCGCGTTTAAATCCTATTTTTTACGTTTTTTAATGCAAGTTATTGTGTTTCAATAAATATATGTATATAGTGACTTTTGTATTAAAATAAAATATCAGTTAAAAAATTGTCTGTTTTTAAGGGTTTAAGGGTTAGATGGAAGAACAGCTGTTTATTGTGCTGGACCTAGTCCAAGTCCAAATAAACAAGGTGAATCTCGCCTTTTCATAAATAATAATACTTAGTTACTGCCAATGATTTATCTTTTTTTTATGTAGATACCATTGTTATTTATGATTATTATTATTATTTTAAATTAAATGTGATAAAATGACAAAATAAATTTTGTTTTTGCAAGATGGTACCTATCGCTATTTATGCATTAAGTATAAAAGCAACTTTCCTTACCCTTTTCCCCGCAATATACTACTAATGTACTAATTTAAATCTCTTAACATGATAATAATTTTAAAAAAATTGCACTTGTGTTTTTTGAAACCCCATATAACTTGACTTACGTGTGTTTTTTGAACCCCCTTATAACTTGAGTTACCAACCCCTATAAACTTGGTAACGCCTTCAATAAAATACCGAAAATTGTCACATCCACTTACATAACTTAGCTTCTGTCCAAACCAAACGACAATTCGACATTAATGTTTAAGTAGTGAATATGTAAATTTCTAATTCGAAAGAAGGACGTTATCTACCACATGTTGTATATGGAAGACGTTAAAAGTCTTTTGGAAATTTATTCAGCACTCGTCAGCGACGTAAGGGATGAATTTATGGAGCGGTGACCGCGTGTGGACAGTACTATAGT